CCCCAGCCAGCATGGCTGGCTGGGGAATTCTGGAAGTTGAAGTCCACCCATCTTAAAGTCACCAACGTTAAGAAAGACTGGGTTAGAGAGTCCTGTATCTCTTTGCTGCTGTCTTGTGACTGACTGGATCTAAATTTAGTAGCCCTATTTTATGCATACTTTGATCAAGACGGTAGAGGTCTGTCCTTTACAACTTGGTTTGCGACTTTCTTTTAACCAGCGTTAACATTGTTTATTTAAAATAACAGAATCCACATTGCTTCCAGTCAAAGACCTGCCTCTGGTTGCCTTGTGGCTTCCTTCTCAGCTCTCTGAACCCCTGTTGCTCTGCCATGTACGGTCATGCTTGCTCACTGACTAAGAAGGCCCTGCTAAAATCGGCCACCAACATCCTTGATCCTGAGACCTGTAAAGAAGGATGAGCTTCTCTGGGTCCCCTCAGCCTGAGTCAGAAAATAAGGTCACCTTCTGTCTGCATGTAGTCCCCTAACTCTCAGCTTCACCTCAGAGCCCTCCTCTGCAGCCAGAGTTTCTGGAGAATTGCAAGGCTGAAGGCTTCACCATCTCTGTTGTAAATAACATCCACCCACATTTTTTAAAGAGGGAGGGAGTGTTCAGTCTCAACCTTGGCAATTTTAAGATGGGGGGACTTCCTCTCCCAGAATTCCCCAACTCCATGCAGGGAGACAGAGAGGCAGCTCCATCCTGCACTGTTTTTCCTTTTTGCACAGGCCCACTTCTGATGGAGAGAGAAGAGGATTTTCAGAGCCTGGGATGCAAAGGACTGAGGCGAAGAGACTCACCCGTATTTAACCAAGTCTAAGTGATCTGCTTTGTCCTTGTGTCCAGGGGCTTCCTCTTTTGAATGGGCAAGAGATGCTATTGCTTCTGAAAAGGAAGAGCAACAGACGCAAGTCAAGGGTGATTCAGCCAAGGCTTCTCAGCTGAGGTCACTCATGGCCAGACAGTGGGGATGACTGAATGGAGGGCTGCCCTGAGATCCGGAGAGGGGCGCAGAAGGCCTGAGAATTAATCGCAGGCTTTCCAAGATCTCTTCACTGAACAAGGGGATCAGCACCCACTTTTGTGTCAATACTCTACTGCTTGGTCTACTTTTATAAAGGCGGTGCAATATTTTAGACAGTATCCTGGTTATAAGATAAATTGGGATAAATCTTGTTTACTTCCCTTGGGACCTAACATATCAGTGCAGCTATGTAAAGAGTTGGGTTTTGTGATTTCTACTGATTATATTAAACAACAAATATACCCAAAATATTTCTAAATGTGTGGAAATAAATACGTTGAAACTTCTAGAAAGGGTTGTATTGGAAGTTAATAGATGGGTTAAATTCCTTTAAGCTTGTAGGGTAAAATTAATGTTATAAAAATAAACATTGTCCCTCATTTGATTTATGGTCTATCCTGTGTTAATACCAAATAAATATTTCCTTTGGATTGATAAGTTATTTAGGAAATTTATTTGGGATAATGGGCCACCAAGGTTTTCCTTAGCTAAATTGGGACCTCTGTTTGAGGAAGATGGCTTTAATTTATCTGATTCGCAAAAATATCATTGGGACAATATTTTATCAGCACGTGGAATGAAAATATAGTTAAATATTACCCTTTATGGACTACGTTGGAAACTTTTTATCTATCTCCTTTGCAATCGAAACAACATATAGTAGAAAAGGTGCTTTATTTCCAGGAGTGCAAGCAGCAAGAATTCTTTCAACTGTACTGGGATGTAGGCTGAGTTTTGATAACGAGATTCATGAATACTTAAGCCTTTGGAAAAATTCTACTTTGAAAATTGGTGGTAAATTGTTCTTTTGGAAAGTTTGGGCAGAAGCTGGTATCATGGTATTAAATCAACTGCTATGGGATGACTATTTTAAGGATTTTTTTTTTTAGGATTTTTCCCAACTTCAAATTGAATTTGGTCTTCTCAGTTCACAAGAGCGGAGGTATCTTCAACTTAAGCATGTTCTAATGGACCGATATCGGCCAGGTGCTTTGGCTGCCTCAAAGGCTCCTGAGTTGCTCTCCCACTTGATGGAATCCATGTCAGAACTAAAACCTGTAACATAACTCTAGCAAAAGCGCAAGAATATTTTTAAAGTGGACATTTCTGGGTTATTTCAAACATGGACTAAAGAACTAGAATCCATGATAAAGACACCTCAATGGATTCATGTTCTTAAACAAGTTAAAATAGTATCAACAGATCTGAAATTAAAGCTGATTCATCAAAGAAGTGTATTTAGGGTATATCAGATCCCCCAAATAATGTATTTGAAAGATGGAGATCTGATTTTCTGTGCTGGGGTTAAAACAAAATTGAGGGTTTACTGACCCATATGATATGGTCATGCGATCCTTTGGTACTTTGGAGGGAAAGCGGATTAAGGTGAGATGGGTGGCTAAACAAATCGAATAAATAAATAAAGGTATATAACCATTTTTATGGGGAAATCTTTAAATGTTAAAAATGTTAACGTAATGTTGAACTATATGCCAAAGCATTGGAAGTTGACTGTTTATCAGGAATTATGATTCTGTCAAGCTCAAGGGGTGGCTGAAAGAAACGTATTGAGAAATTGGAAATGGGGTCTTTTTCCAGATGTCAAGGAACGGTTGTCAGAAATGAGTGAACTATCCGTTATGCAAAACGCAATATTTTCTACTGATCAAAGGATGCAGCACTATGTCTTACAAGGGCAGAGATTTTGTGATACAAAACATTTTGTACTGATTATATTATAGCAGTGCATTTATTGGTAAACTGATGACTGTTGACAAGTATAGAATATAAGATTTTTTTTCTCATTTTCTGTTCTTTCTTAGTTTGTATTTTAGTTTGTTTGGGGTTGTCTCTTTTCTAATTTTAAGGGTTTTTTTTTAAGTTTAAAGATTGTTCTGTTAACTGTGTATGTATAAACCCTTTAGAAAAATAAAAATTACAGTCATCTATTAAAAGGGGGCAGTCAGCACCCAGGAAAAGGAGCACGTGTATGTGTGGCTGGTGTTCAGGGATGAGGGTCTACCAAATGGGGCTACAGCAAATTCTTTTCTCTGCCCACAGCCTACTGTTTTGTTTTACTGCCCCCTCCACCCCAGGGAATAAGATTCCATGGCGAGGGGTTAAGAGCAGTCCCGGATCACGGGAGACTGGTCGCTGCTGCTCCAGGGGCACCCTGTGCCTGCTGCCCTGCATCCTCCTGCGCCACGGGCTACCTCGGTCCCCTTCTGGACCTCTGAAGAGGCCCTGGGGAGGCCCTGCAGAGCCTGCAAACGTTATCACAGCAAGAGGCGGGCATTGCCACGTCTGTCTGTCAGATCAGGAGCCACTC